TCTAACACCTCAACAACAAAAAGACAAATAATCCAATTTAAAAATGGGCAGAAGACATGAATAGACACTTCACCAAAGAGGATATTCAGGTGGCCAACAAACATATGAAGAAATGCTCACAATCAGGGGACTTCCAGTAAGATGGAGGAATAGGCAGACAAGTGACACAGACCCTCTTCAACAAAGAAAAGAAAAACCAATTGACAAAGATACAGAAAATAATCCTGGAACCCTGAGCTTTGAAAGATACTACACAGAAGTGGATTAGGCGCCAATTACTGGAAAAACTTGAACGAAATGCCTCAACACCAAAGGAATTAACAGTCCAGTTGAAAAATGGGCAGAAGACATGAATAGACACTTCACCAAGGAGGATATTCAGGTGGTCAGCTAATACATGAAAAGATGCTCACAATCATTGGCCATCAGAGAGATGTAAATCAAAACAACAATGGGATATACCATCTCACCCCAGCACTGATGGCAATGTTCAATGAGACAGAAAATAACAAATGCTGGTGGGCATATGGAGAGATTGGGACTCTCATATACTGCTTGTGTGACTGTGAAGTGACACAACCACTATGGAAAGCAATATGGTGATTCCTTAGAAAGTTGGAATTGGAGATACCATGTGACCCAGCAATCCCATTACTAGGTACATACTAGAGAGGTGAGAGCCAGGATAGGAACAGATACATGCACGCTCATGTTCATCACAGCACTATTTACAATAGCAAAAAGATGGAAACAACCTATGTGCCCATCAGTGGAAGAGTGAATGATCAGACTATGGTACATACACATGCTGGAATGCTATGCAGCACTAAAGGATAATGTAGTGTCTGCAAAACACCACATAATATGGATGAACTTGGAGGACATTATGCTGAGTGAAATAAGTCAATCACAGAAGGACAAATATAGTATTAATTTGTTGTTGTGGAGGGTCAAGGAAAGGTTTATATGTGGAAGGAAACTTTCTTTGTTGGTTGCCAGGGGTAGGGGGGAGGGGAGGGAACACTACAAAAAAAATGCATTGACCCATGTCACTCTAGTTTTGTGTATTTCACACTATATAAATTATATTTCAATAAAATGCATTAAAAAATAAAAGAAAAAAGAAATGCTCACGATCATTAGCCTTTAGAGAGATGCAAATCAAAACAACAATGAGATACCATCTTCCCCAGCACTAACAGCAAAATTCAACAAGACAGAAAATAATAAATGCTGGTGAGGATGCAGAGAGATTGGGACTCTCCTACACTGGCTGTCAAATGATACAACCACTATGGAAAGTAGTATGGTGATTCCTTAAAAAGTTGAAATTAGAAATACCATTTGACTCAGCCATTCCATTACTAGGTATATATCCTTAAAAAAGTGAGAGCCATGACAAGAACAGATACATGCACACCCATGTTCATTGCAGCACTATTTACAAAAGCAAAAATATGGAAACCAGCTAGGTGCCCATCAACAGAAGAATGGATCACCAAACTTAAATGTGAAACCTAAAACAATGCATTAAATTCCTCAAGAAAAAACTAGGGGCAAATTTAGTGACCCTAATATATGGCCTAAATAGACTATCAAGCATAGCCCAAAATGCACAAACAGCAGAAGACAAATTAGATGAATGGGACCTTCTCAAAATTAAATTTTTATGTGCTTCCAAAAACTTCTCTGAAAGAGTCAAAACACACAATGGAATACTATGCAACCCTAAAGAATAATGTAGAATCTGCAAAACACTGCATAACATGGATGAACTTGGAGGACATTATGCTGAGTGAAATAAGTCAAGCACAGAAGGACAAATATTGTATTAGTTTGTTATTGTAAAAATCAAGGAAAGGTTTATATATGGAAGGAAATTTTCTTTGTTGGCTACCAGGGGTGGGAGGGGAAAGGAGGGAACACTGTTAGATAGGTAGAGATAAGTATTGATTTGGGTGAAGAGAAGAGCAATGTACCAATGTGAGTGATCAAATGGTGGCAATGAGGAAGAGAAGACACAGAGAGGTGCATGGGTGGTACAGACAAACAAAATGAATCCTTTTGCACATACAGTATTGTGTTGTCAGTGAAGGCAAATAACACACTGTTCCACATTCTACTTTGGCGAGTAGCGACTGGGATCTTAAAAGCTTGCAAGCCATCTAGATGCAATGAGGGGTCTCTCCTTGTCCAGAGCAAAGAAGAATGAAGAAAACCAAAGACACATGGAAACAAATTAGTCCAAACGACTGATATACCATGCAATCTTCAGTTATGACTATGAGACCAGAAGAACTACATGGCACCCGGCTACCACTATCAACCACTTGGAGGGGGATCTATTAGGAAATCCTGGACAGAGTGGGAGAACAGTGTGGAACAAAACTCAAAATCCTGATAGAAAGTGGTGGAATCACTGAGACTATGGCCCCCAGCTGCCCTTCAAGTCTGGAACTGAACCCACCCCTGTGGCTTCCAGCCAAACAAAAGTCAGGCATATGAGCTGAACATTTACATTAGGTAGATACACTCCTTAGAGAGATCAATCCTGAGTGAATAGAAGGGCTGTGTATGCTCAGGGAGACAGCTCGAGGGGGCAGGAATACATGGCGGGAAGGACACAGGGAAGAGGTAACTATGGGGAAGAAGTGGGAGGGGAGCTGTTGCGTTGTGGGAAATTGTAGTCAATGTCATGAGACAAAGTGTATGTGAGCTGCTATATGGAAAGTGAATTTGCTCTGTAAACTTTTACCCAAATAACAATAAAAATTGAAAAAAATAATAATACTAGTAAAACACCACTGAGGAAGAAACTATGAGGAAAGGAGAAACCCAAGATGGCTGCATGGAAGAGATGCTGTTTCCGGGAAACCTTGATGTGGAGGTTTTAAATCAGCAAAGATGCAGGGAAGGATCAGCCAGGTAGAGATGCCAGCATGTGCAAAGGCCCAGAAACTAGGTAGCAAGAGTGATGTAGTGCTGATTGCTCTGAGGAGAGCACGTAAGGGGACAGCAGAATTAGATTTAGAAAAATTAGTGGAGCCAGATCATAAAGGATTCAAACATCAAGGCTGAGGAATCTGATCTCATGGGCCTAGAGGAGCCCAGAAAGTTCTAGGAAAGTGGAGTAGCCCACACATGCTGACCTGGTTGTAGTGCATTGTCACATACAGCTCGTTCTCCAACTTTAGCGGCTGATCCCAGAGCACACGCCGGAACCAGAGCATATAGCCACCATCCACCTGCTCCATCTCTGAGGCCACATCCAAGATGTAGGTGCAGCGGCTGAGTGGGCACACGTGCTGGCCTGCAGAGGAGGCAGAAAGTGGGGCTGGGTGTACACACACACCTGGGCTGAACATGTGTGCAAACTGCAACTAGCCACACAGCAAGACATCTCCTGTGAAAGCCACTACCCTTCTCTGGAACTCGGTTTCTCATTAAAGGACTGGGTATTTATGGAAAAAAGGGCCTGGGATATTTTATTGAAATGCTGGTGACCCCAGATGGGAATAGCTTCAATTCAAAGTTATAAACTTCTAACTTTGGCCTCTGTTCAAGACCCAAGTGGGTGACCTTGGATAAGTCACCTAACCTCTATGTCAGCCTGAAAAATGGCCCCCAGAGATGTCTATGTCCTAATCCCTGGAAACTGTGCATATGTGACCTTACATGACAAAGGAGATTTTGCAGATGTGACTAAGTTAAGGATCTTGAAATGAGATTAACCAAGTGGGCTTGATAGACTCACAAGTGTCCTTATAAGAGGAAGACAAGAGGATCAGAGTCAGAGAAAGTGATGCAATGACAGAAGCAGAGGTCAGAGAGAGAGATTTAAAGATTCTGCACTGCTGACTTTGGAGGATGAAGTGGCTATGAGCCAAGGCATGCAGGTAATCTCTAGACATTGGAAAGGGCAAGGAAGCAGATTCTCCCCTACAGTCTCCAGAAGGAACACAGCCCTAATGACACCTTGATTTTAGGATATCTGATCTCCAGAACTAGAAGATAGTAAGTCTGTGTTGTTTCAAGCTGTGATTTATGGTAATTTGTTGCAGCAACCATAAGAGACTAATACAACTCCCTGGGCCTCAGTTTCCCCATCTGTTAAGTGGGGATGATAATGGTCTCCACTTCATTGGGCTATTGTTGTTGTTGTTGTTGTAATGTGCTGTCGAGTCAGACCCGACTCATAGCGACCCCTCCTTGGGTTTCTGAGGTGGTATCACTACAGAAGTAGATTGCCCAACCTTCCTTCTGAGGAGTGGCTGGTGGGTTTGAACCACCAGCCTTCTGGTTAGCAGTCAAGTGCTTTAGGCACTATGCTACCAGAACTTCCATAGGGCTATTAAGGGGCTTTAAAAAAGTTTATGGAATTAAGTGGTTTGAACTGTGCTGGGACATCCTATTTGCTCAATAAGTGTCCATTAGTAAAACCATTTTGTTACTGCCCCCTCACATCTTAGGCAGACTCTATGGACCTTTGTAATGCAGGGCTGAGAGCACAGGGTTATTACAATGGTTCAGGTTGAAGCTGGGTGGCAGTGGCTAGAGATGACCGTTAGGTGGCAGAAGGCAAGGTGGGTGGGAAGCAGACAGAAGGGTCTTTAGACTTCATGAAGGTCCCCCAGGGTCCTGGGACCTAATAGAGAAAGGCCAGGTGAAACCATGGGAGGGGATCCAGCAGCCACTGTTAAGGCCTAAGAGGCAGGAAAAATGTTTGGATCTTTGGGTTCCCAGACTCAGGGCTAATTAAGGGAATCTTCTTCAGGATGTAGAAGCCTTTCAGGCTTCCCACACGTCCATGTGCTCAAACAGTACTGAGCAAGCCCAAAGAGCAGAAGGTATCCAGGAGCTCCCAGTCTGTAGGCAAAACAGACTCCTATACAAAGCAAAGCAGAGGGCAGACTAGGGCTGGCAATGGTCAGTGGAGAGAGGTGCCCCCCATGTGAGGAATTGTTACAGGGTGAATCATGTTCCCCAAAAAAGCATGTTGAAGTTCTTGTTTGGAAGGTCTTTGAAGATGTTATCAGTTAACATAAGGTCTTACTGGAGTAGGGTGGGCCCTAATCCAATCTGAGTGGTATTCTATAAAAGAAGAGACACACAGAGGTAAAATGGCTATATGGAAGGAGGCAAAGATGGAGCAATGCTGCAGCTGTAAGCTAAGGAAGCTCTGGGGCTATCAGACGCTTGGAGAGACAAGGAAGAATTTCCTTCTAGAGCCATTGGAGGGAGCACAGTCCTGCCGACACCTTAAATTTGGACTTCTAGCCTCCAGAAGTGTGAGGCTAGAACTTAACTGTCCTTATAAACATCTAGTTTATGGAACTTTGTGGCAGCAGCCTTGGGACATTAAAACAGAGATCAGGGGCTTCCTGGAGGAGGTAGCATCTGACTCAGGCAGCAGTCAAGGCCTGGTGACAGGAATGAACCCACTCAGTCTTCCTCACCACTTACCTCGGTTGGTGACAATGAAGATGACATACTCATCAAAGGCCTCGGTGCGTGTCAGAGCCATCTCAGCACAAATCTCCTCTACCACATCTCGGGCCACCTACAGTGGAGTGGAAGGGAGTGACCAGGTGTGTAGGGTAGGCCTGACTGCTGTGCTCCCAGGAGGTTCAGTACTGAGTGCCTCACCTCTGAGAGCTTGGACACTAACCTCAAGCAGGCAAAGACTTTCAGAGGCTGAGAGGCTCAGGTTGCAATTTTGCCTTTGTCTCTTATCAGCTTGTGTCCCTGACCTAGAGGCACAATCTCTCCCAGCCCTGGTTTGCTCTTCTTAGGAATAGTTCCTGCCTCAAGGGGCTGTGTGAGATCCCAGAAGGGGCTCAGCACCTTGGCAGCCCACTCCTATGCCAAGAGTCCTTTGAGTGTCTACCTGCCAGAGCTCCTGGCACTCCCCCACTTACTGTGCAAGTTTTGATTTTGAGATGGCGTTCAAGGCCTCCAGGAAGAAGAAAGAGCTGCCTCTTGGAACTTCGGCCAGCCTAGGGGTTGGGGAGGGACAAGAGGCTGGGTTTGGAGAGTCCCCAAGCCAAGGGGTCCTGGGTGTGTCTATGTTCAGGGGTTCCAAGCAGATCGTATGCACAAGAGAAGGCAGTCTAAGCAGGGTACATCTCACTCTTATCCTGACCCCCAAACTGGCCCTCCACACTTACCAACATGGCGCGAAGCTCCATGCTGCTAGGGAGCTCCAGACGGCCGCCATACTGCAAGGTTTTCTGCAGGTTCTGCTCACAGGCCTTGGCGATACCTATAGAGACAATTCTCCGGCCACCAGCCATAAGCCCACCATATTCGTATTCTCCCCACAAGTTGTGGGGCAGGCATTGACTCTCCCATTTTAGAGTTGGGCAAATAGGTTTGAGAGGTGCAGAGATTTGCCCAAGGTTAAGAACTGGAGTACGAGAGCTAGACTTGAACCCAAGGGCATCTGGCTCTACTTCCCATTAAGGTCTGTCTACCCTGTAGTCCCCTTGGCTATCAATGAGCCTGGACACACATGTCCCCAGGCTGCTGCCCCGAGTCCTGGTCCCCAGAGGCTTTGTGGCTGCAGTGGTGATGAGGCTCTAGCCCTGGAAACTGGAATTTCCCTTGCTCAGCGCCCTCCCTCCCCCAGACACCCCAGGGCAGAAAAAGCCAGCATCAGTGTTCCACTTCTCTGGCTTAAGCAGTGCCCTCTCCCAATAACTATTCTGTCATGGGGATTCTTCCAGGGAGGAAATGAGTTACAACTTCTCATTCTTCACCTTCACAGATCTGGGAGCCCCTCCCTCTCTGGGGAACTAGATCTGTTCACCTCTGGGTCTGGGAATATTTGTTAATTGAATCAAAGAGGAAGACTTGGAGGTGGGGAGGGCAAGGTCCTCTATCCCCCTCATGGCTGTCATGCAATTGCAGGGGCCCCAACCTGTTTCTTTAGGGGACCCAGCAGTTGCTATGGAAACAATGGCTGGGGTTGAGGCTTGGGGTATGGCCCCTTCTTCCACGCTCCAAAGGGAAAAGGCTGACACCCTGACACTGGCTTTGGACCCACCTGCCCAGACATAGTCAAAGTCCTTGCCAATTGATTCCCCATGAAGCTGATTCCTCACCTAGCACCTCATGCCCACCTTGCTCCCCTCCTCTCATACTTGGCCACACTTAGTCTACCTCCAGGCCTTTGCTTCTGTCCGTCAGCCACCTATGCTCACCACCTAGGCAACACCTTCCCCTTCCCACTTATAGCTTATCACTAGTTCTTGTGGGGCCACCACAAATGTTTGAGAATGAATTAATAGTCACAAATGCTGCTAGGCCCCCTGTGAAGGGCCAGTCTCCAGGCAGAGAGCCCACCACCCTGAGTGCCTACTTGCTGCTCACCCTGGAAGGGCACGCCCGGGGCTTGGCTTTTGTCTCGGAGGAAGTGGAGCAGGTATGGCTGGAAGACCTCAGAGCAGCTATGGTAGGCGGCCATGATGGACAGTAGCCGCCAGCCTCGCTGGCAGCTGTCCCTGTGAGAACATACCAGAGCCACGTCACATTGGGCCACAGTACTGTGCTGCCATGCCAGGAGTCCCTTGGGACTGGTCTAGAAGTTTCCATCTCTTAGGCCACTCCTGTCTTCTGAGAACACTCCTGCTCTGTCCAGTGAGAGTAGGGCGAGTAGGCTTAAAGTTGTGCAGAAGGCACGTTCTACTTGGAAAGCCAGAGGAGAAAGGGGTGAGGCCCTGACATACATGCAACACACAAAGAAGCCTGTCTACCCAGGCTGTAGCATACTTCTGTAGAGATTTCTTTAGTTGGGGCTATGCAAGGGTAATGTCAGGAAGGCCTGGAGGTGGGAGGCCAGGAGGGCATGCTGAACAGCTCTAAAGTTCCTGGGGGAGGGAAAGCAAGTGAGGAGGCAAAAGGTAGGACAAAGGCAGGAGGATGGCCCCTTGGTAACAAGAGCAGGATGCAAATTGGGCACCTATCGTGTACTGGCCCTGCATGAGGCATGGCAACGTGTTCTAACACCACTCTTGGTGTGAGGATTTTGTGTATGGGAACCTCTGATATCTGGGTATAGCACTTGAGTTTCCTTGGGATACCACCTACCCCTCTTTAGATCCCAGTGGTTTGCAGAGGGTCATGGGAGTCAGAGCTGGCCAGTTAGAACACTGTAGCTCCCTGGGCAGTGACTGGCTTAGGGATGTGCATATGTTCCAGGTCTAGCCAATCAGAACTCGGTATCCTCCGGTCATTGTGGTTGGTTCAGGGATAACCAAGTGACCTGGCAAACACAACTAGCCTTGATTTGGAGATTTTTGCTGCAAATTTTAGATCAGACATTCTTGTTTCCCTGGAATTGCTGAACTGGGGGAGATGTCTCCCCAGAGCTGCTACCTTGCCAACCTAATGAAAAGGCTGCCTGGGGATGATACTAACACAGAGGAAAGCATGGGCAACTAATCAAGAAGGCTCCTTCCTAATGACACTTGGATCCAGCTATGCCTGGAGCCATAAAACAAAACAAAACAAAACAAAACAAAAACTGCTATCGAGTCAATTCCGACTCATAGCAACCCCTTTTGGGTTTCTGAGGTGGTAAATCTTTATGGAAGTAGATTGCCCAGTCTTCCTTCTCTGGAGTGGCTGGTGACTCCTTATGGCTTGAAGCTATACAGGCATTGAATTTTCAGTTACCTGGATCAGTAAGTTGCTTGCAACCAAGACTCACACATAATCATTACCATTTTACAGATGAAGAAACTGAACCTTTTGTTGTTGTTGTTGTTATGTGCCATCGAGTCAAACCCGACTCACAGCGACCTCTCCTTGGGTTTCCAAGGCAGTACCTCTATGGAAGTAGATTGCCCATCTTCCTTCTGAGGAGTGGCTGGTGGGTTTGAACCGCCAGCCTTCCGGTTAGCAGTCAAGTGCCTTAGGCACCATGCTACCAGAGCTCCTAACTGAACCTTAGAGAGTAGAAATAACTTGTCCCAAAACATATGCTTTGTCTAAGGAATAAGGAAGGAGCCCTGGTGGCATAGTGCCTAAGGCATTTGACTGCTAACCAGAAGGTTAGAGGTTCAAATCCACCAGCCTCTCCTCAGAAGGAAGATTGGGAAATTTACTTCCATAGTGATACTGCCTTGGAAACCCAAGGAGGGGTCGCTATGAGTTAGATCTGACTCAAGGCAGTGAGTTTGGTTTGGTTTTGGAAGGAGTAAGGAAGAGGATGAGGTTGAGGAAATAGGGAAGGGATTGGCCTGGGGCAATGGGAGGCTGACCTGGATACAGTGGGGGAGAGGGCGAGTTCACTCACTGCTTGGCGCTGGTGTTGTCAGTGATCTGCTTCACAATTTGGCAGTAACACTCATCCCTCATGATGTCATGGTCCCTACACAGCTGAAGGGGGGTAGGCCAGGTCACATGCCAAGGACATGCCAAGGACCACACTATACACCAGGCATGTAAAAACAGCATGGGTACTTGGAGTCAGGCCTGGTGTCCCCTACCCCATCAATGGGGTGCATTCCTTTTGGGACCATGAGAAAAGCTTCCCACACCAATGTCTGTCAACTGTGGCTGACAGATGGAGAAGCCAAATCCTAGACCAGAAAAGAGACTGACCTTCAGAAGAGTGCAGAGCACATCCAGTTCACTCTGGCCCTTCAGCGCGGCATCTCCCATGAACCTCATCACAGCTGTAGGGAAGACCTATCCCATTCAGGTCCACTAGACTGTCAATTGTGCACCCCAAACCAGAGGCTTCAGGGTTTGGCCACTCCTAGGGATGTTTTGGGTAGGGACAACAGGGGGCTTCTATTCTCTTAAAAGGGTCCCACTGCCTGAATTGAGGAGGAAGGGAAGAATTTGATCACCTTAGTGGTGGTGATCAAAAGTCACACAGAGCCTGACCCCACCCTGCCCAGGACCCTGGTTTCAGTCCCACCCTCACACCTAGGAACATGTCAGTGGACATCTTGTTGAGGCTGCTGTCACTGAATTCGATGAGGGATTCCTGGAGTGGGATCTGTGTGGGCAGGAAGAGGCTGTGTCATGGTGGGTGAGGGACATGTCAGAGCAGAAGGGGGGGACATATCATGTTTCAATGATAGGAGGGTCCACATTACAAAAGAGGAGGGAGGCCCAGCACCAGGGACAGATGCTGACCCTGGGAGGAAGCCAAGTCCCCTCTTAAGTTTTGAGGGCTGGGTCTGAGAGCTGGGGGTCTGGCTGAAGACAAGGCTGTTTGCCCTAGGAGCCTGGAAGGGGACTCTTGCGTGCCCATCTTACAGATGGGGAAACTGAAGCCCAGGGTTGGACACCTTAGTGAAGCAAAGCATATCCTCCAAAGTTCTGGACTCCCAAGACTCCTTGGATTTCAGCTTGAGACCATTCCTGCAAAAAGAGAGGGTATACTGCTGGCCAGATCTGCTTCAAGGCCTTTGACAACATCCTTTTCCCACAAAGGAAACAATGAACCATTTTAAAGACCATTTGTATCAACAGACAAGGAGGTCCCCAGAGACTGAGGCTGAAGCTGGGCCTCACACCTAGGTGGTTTCTTATCTGGCGCACCAGAAGTAGGACCCCATAGCTCCACAGACTGCTGCCGGGTCAGCTGTAAAGAGCCCCAGAAGCACCCACCCCAGAAAGCGAACAGGGTGAAAGGAGAGGTCACCACTCACTGGGGTCTCCTCTGAGGGTCTCGGAAATACTTCTGGGCAAACTCAAGCATAGTGTGTTGCAGAGGAACCAGGGCATTCTCCTGGCGGTCAGGGGAACCCACTCTGGGTGAGGGACCCTGTAGGAGGGATGTAGCTACAGCTCTGGCACCTGGGACCTCCTAGTCAGGCCACACCCTATCTAGCCCCACCCCTGTCAAGGCTGACTCAACTCAACTCCTCCTTGACTGTCTGCCCAGACCCTTTCAGGATGGCTTGTTCCCCATGGTACTCTAGCTGCTCCCCAGCCTGGTCTGACCCTATCCCCATCCAGTCTGCCCAGCCCTCATTCAGTTGGCCCTGCCCTCTGCCCACCGTGACCATGCCCCCACCTGGTCCTTCCCAGCCTTGTTTGGTCTCCCCAAATGCCTTGTCCTAGCTGATTCTGCCCCTTGCTGGTTCCCTTTCAAAAGCCTGCCTTTGCCCCATCCAACCCCTGGTTGACTTCAACCCCTGGTTGACTTCACCTACGGGCAGGCCAAAGCTGGTTCCACCTCCTCTAGGGTTCCCATCTGCCAATCACACCTACCCCTGATTTCAGCTGACTGCTACTCTACCACATTTGGTCACACTGCCAACCCTCTCTGGTCACACTCTGTGGGCCTGGCCAGATGCTTAGCCTTCTGGTTGTCCCTGCCCCACCCCAGACTGGCCCCTGCCCTGCTGGCCTCACCTCTCTCCAGCGGCCCACCTCCTGAGCAGCGGCAGTGGAGGCCACAGCAGCAGCCACAGCAGCAGCCCGGCCCCTGCCTGGCTCAGCTGGCAGCTGTAGGAAGTCAGGAGCTGCCGCAGGCTGCACTAGCTCTGAAGGGAAGCGGCCCACATGCCCATGGATGGTACCGAACCGCCAGCCTAGGGGCAGTTGAGGGCAAACAGGACGGGGTGTCTTGGGACTGAGGGGGCCTTTGAGGATCTTCTTAACACTTCCCTAGAGCTCCTTGAAGAAACAGAGGCTCAGGGAAAAGAAGGGATTGGGTTAAAATCACAGAGTGGTAATGGGAATGGAGCAGTAAGAAGTGTAAAGAAAGACTCAAGTCACAAACATGGAAACACTAATGACCATGGAGACCCCTCTCTCAAACAGGAGGTAGAGGGCTGTCTGGCTGGCTGCCAGGAGGGGCTAGCAGACCAAGGGAGGCCCCTTTGGGGCAATAAGAAACCCCCTTCAAGTACTGTAGTGTAAGTGCATGATATCAGGATCAGCCCTGTTTGGGGGGGTTCTAAATTTGGGGCTGGGGGAGGTAAGACAAGGGTATCCTCATGTGCCTACCAAAGTCAGGGCCTCCACGCCGCAGCTCCTCCAGATACACAACCTTCTTGCGGACTACACAGCCAGCACTATAGCCTGTGGACCAAGCTATGTTAGTACTTGTAGGGGTGGGGCTCACCCAGCTCTCCTTCTATATCTACTCCACCCCACAGCACTGACCCACTCGAGGTGGCTCCAGAGGCTGTAGGTGGATGATGTCGCCTTTGTGGAAGGCCAGCAGTGATGGGTCCTCAGGCAGGAAGTTTCTCACAGCCACCACATAGTCAGAGTCCTGGGTGAGCAGGGCCAGGATAAGGGATGGCAGTCCTATCTCCCTGTTCCCAGAGGCCTAGGGCCACTCCTGTGCCCTACACATCAGCAGGAAAGGAAGCATTCCCTAGATGAAAGGAGGGGAAGACCCTCCAGGTAGAAAGAACAGGCCTGGCCTGAAAGCATGAGTTTGATGAATGCAGGACTTAAGGACAAGCACTCGGCAAAACCTTCCCACTGGGCCAAATGCTGGGGCCAAAGCACCAGGTGATCTGCTCTAGGCCTGGGGTTTGAGAAGCCTGGAGGGAGAGAGATGGTCAGAGATGAAATGCTTGGGCAATGTGGTCACTGTAGGAGAGTGAAGAATCCAAATGCTATGGTGCTAACAGGAGGGGCTAGGGCTACCCTATAGGGAACATGAGGAAAGGGTTGCTCAAGAAGCAGGCAAAAGGGGGGAAGGGGATTCCAGGTAGGAGGCAGAGCCTGTGCAGAGACATGGGAGCATCAAGAAAACTATGGACATATCACAAGTACACACACACAACCATGCTTCCTCAAGCTGGCATAGCTAATATAGACTAGGGGTAGGAAAGTCCTATTTTTGGGCTCTTGATCCTTTGGGGGGATCCTGACCTTCTTCAGCTCCAGAATGAAGTCATCCACCAGGGTCTTGACCTGGTGAGCACGGGCTGAGAAGAGGATGACCTTCTCACTGGCCAAGTTGAACTCCAGCATGTTCTGGGAAGGGATGGTCACAAATAGGATGTCTGCAAAGCTGGAGGTTGGGAGAGTGGCATGACGGTGGGACCTCATGGCCAGAGGGACCTTATGCCTCCACATTACCCCTTCTGCTCCTGCCTTTCCCCTCTCTTCCAGTCCAGTGCCAGCTCATGCATCCCTTTTCTGCCACCTGATGCTCTCAGCCTCATTACACCAGCCCCCAGAAGACCCAAGGAACTTCCTTGAACTGCCCTCTCTGACTTTCCTGTGACTCCACCCTTGTTTCCTATCACCGTTTGACCCTAACATTCCAGCCCTTGCCATGTGGTCCAGCCTTCCAGACTGTGCCCATTAAGTCTAGCTCCTTTACCCACTAATCACATTCTCCCCATTTGTTCAAAGCAAGGAGCTTTCACTGAGGCAGTGGTGAGCCAGGGCCCTGTTTCTATCCTCAATTGATAAAGGACTAAAGGAGCAGATGACAGAAAGGGGGACCTGAGGCCATAGCAAGGCCCCACAGCCAGAATCCTCCTCCCCTTCCCGGCTGCATCAGAGCCTGGTTATTTGCAGTGCAGTCATTCCACTATACAGTGAGCTCTAAGAGCAGAGGAATGGTGTGCAGTCTGAGAGACAGATGGGGTTATTGGCTCCTAGCTCATCCACTTCTGGGTATATGACCTGAGATAAGAAACTCTTTGAGCCTGGGTTTCCCCATTTCTAAAACAGGCTTAATTAACAAGCTTGGCACAGAGTTTGGCTTAACGCAGGTACTTGTTAAGTGGCTACTGAATGAGTCAGTTTGTGCTGTAGTCTAAGGCCTGTCCACTTCTACTGCTTTCCAGTTACCTGTAAGTACGAAGAACTTGAAGATGCTCGCCAGCCTCCCGGCCACCCTTGACCATCCGTAGGAGTTTGATGCCCATGTGAGACACAGCTAGGGCCTGTACACCAGTGCCCACACTTCCCTGTGGCAGGGATGAGAGGCATGTGAGGGTCTTCCAGTCTCATATCTGAATCCCTTGGGTGGGCAGGGGTGGGTGTGAGACTCGCACCGTAGCAGGGAAGAGGCGGGAGAAGTAGACCTCCCAGCTGTCGCGTGCAGTGCTGACCACGGCCCGTTTTATGCTCTCTGTCACCAGGGGCCGTTGTGTATCCAGCTGGTTCTGGGCTAAAGAAAGCCATGTGGGGTCAGGACTCTACCCACACCCCAGTGGCGCTCATCTCAGACAGGGAAGCTGACATCCAGCAAGAAGGTATCGGATCAGTGTGTTCTCATTGTAGTATAGGCAGCAGAAATCCAGAGACAGAGGGAAGGCCAGGGCCGCATAGCCAGTGAAGGAGCCTAACTCAAACACACGGGCTGGCCAGGTCAAGCAGGGATGGGGTGTCTGGGAGGCACACTGGCAGGGCCAGGGCAGGCTGTGGCCTTGGCTCCTGGCCCTATTAGCGCCCCTTCCCTTCCCTACAGTACCAAACAGGGCCTTCATTCTGAGTCGCTCGTCCTGGGAGATGCGCAGGCATGCCTCAGAAAATGTGTCATGCAGGATCTGCAGGAAAGCCAGGGTGTGGGCCCAGTGACTCCTCGCTCTGGGCTTTGACTAATCTGGGATGAGTGGGAATGAGGGTCCCACTTATTACCACAAGGGGTCATCTGTGTAAACCAGATCTCATTTAGAGAATGCTTCTGGGGAAGCCTTCCAGGAGTACATCCCAAGCCCCAGCAAATCAGTGCTGCCCGCTCAGGCATCAGTTACTAATCCCTATGTTGAGGTTTGGATTTGACCTCTTGGCCCTGTCTACTTAGGACAAGCTGTGATCTGCTTAGAATGGATTTTGGGCTCACTGACCCTGTTTGTAGGGACTGAGGATTCCACAGAACAGTCCCCACCCGGCCTAAGATCCCAATCCCAGCATGCAGGATGCAGAATTCACAGACAGCCCATCTGTGTTTCCTTTGACTGCTGAGGAGACTGCAGCAGAAAGAGGACCTTACCTGCCGGAACAGGAGGTCTAGCTGCACAGGGTGGTTGTAGTTGTCCTTGGGGTAGAACACCTGTGGAACAGGGTCTTCAATGGGGACCTTTAGACAGTTCCCTCCCCATGCTTCCCAACTGAACTCACCCCCTTGCTACAGCCCTGCCCACAGCACCTCCCCCTCCTGGCCCCTCCACTATCTCTGACTCCACCCCATCTGGCCCCGCCCCTGGCCCAGGCTCCTGGTCCCACTTAGCCAGGCCCAGATACTTCTTTGCGTAGGAAGATCCGCCAGGAGGCATCCCGGTAGCCATAAAAGTTGGGGCCAATGAGGCGGTGCAGTCTCGTCTGCACAGGCTCCTCTAAGGGCTCCAGTGAGCGGGAGGACAGCACTGTGGGCAGGCATAAAGGGGCACATCTCTTGAAGGAAGAAGATGAGGTGGGGCCAGTGGAGGAGGGTATCCAGGGATGATCTCACATGGGGAAAGGGGGGCAAGGTCAGAAGCCCTCCCCCACATCCTTGTTGCAGACACACCTGCTCACAGGGACTCACACAAATACCATACAACCCTTCATTTGACACATACACAGAAAGTCTACTGTATATAGGCCTTGTGGTAGGGGCTAGGAATACTGTGAGAAACAGGATAGACAAGGGCCTGCCCTTGAGTTTAGGGTATCATGGTGGGTGTGGGGGAAACAGACAATTGAAATTACAAACTAGTGCTAAGAACTGAGGTGGAAATAAAACAGGATGAAGTAAAAGTAGTAAGAAGTATGGGGGCCAGTCTGTGAGGGTCTTTCAGTCAGGATGCTCTGGGTGGGCATCTTGGAGAAGATTACATATGAGGTGAGACCTAAATAATGAGAAGGGGCCAGGCAGGCAAAGATCTGTCAAAGAGTATTCTAGGCAGAAGGAACAGCATGCGCAAAGGCCCTGAGGCAGGAGTAGGCTTGGTTTGTTCCAGGAAGATCCAGGAATAGAGTGAGCCAAGAGGAGATGAAGTTGGGGAGGTGGGCAGAACACATAGGGTCTCATAGACCACAATGAGATATATGAAGTTTATTTTAACAACTGAGGCAAGGATATGTTGTGAGCTGATTTATATCTTTTAAGATCACTGTGGCTGCTGTGACGCAGAGGGGGTAGAGGTTAGGACTCCAATTCTGATGCCAGGAGGCCTGAGTTTCTGTCCTTGCTCTGATACTTCTGAACTGTGTGATCCTGGGCATGTCAATTAACCTTTCTGTGCCTCCATTTCCCCATCTGTAACATGTGGACACAAACAGTACTACCCTGAAGGGTTTTAGTAAGGTCTGAGTAAGTTAGTACATGCAAAATGTGTGAACCAGTAAGGTGGGCTTGGCCTGTGACCAGTGTTATTTAAGGGTCAATATAATGATTGCACAAATGTGCACAGAACACATACACACATGGCTCAGGGACAAAGACATACACAAGTCACCAACATACAGACTGAGACTCACATGTGCTCATGAAGACTTACATGTACACAAGAACACCTGCTTGCTTGCCCCTCCCTCTTCCTGGCACCCTTACCTGGGGTGGCTCCCATAGACGGCTTTGGCACACAGGTCACTGGCTTCACCAAGGCTATGGCCTCTCTGGGCACCTGTCCCCACCCAAGAGAGAGTTTAGAGATAGCAGGGGGAGGAAATGGACAGTAGGACCCTAGTTTGTAGAAAGAGTTGCTTTCTGAGACCACTCCTGAGGCCTGCCTATGTCTCCCACCCTGGCCCTGTACAACCCTGCCCCCTTACCTTGCCTGGTGCTGCTGATGTGTGAGTCATCTGTCCCTTCAGGAGCATCAGTGCCTCCTCATGGGGGTCTGGCCGTTTCATGAACACTTTCCCACCATCTTTCCTGGGTGGGGTTGGTGTGCCATGATGGTTGGACACTAAGGCTCCCCTTCCCCACCAAAAATTCCTATAATAGGGAACTTCTACCCCTATCCCATTCCTCACTATTATAAATGAGGAAAGCGAGACCCAGAGACTGGGCTGAGATCACACAGTACAACCTAGCTGACAGCAGTCTGGGCCTCCTTCTGCTACAGGGGGCTCATCTGGACCACCTGCATAAATACACTCACTCCTTAGAGGGAATGTGTCTTGGCACTGCCTCGCCCAGCAGACAGTACACTGATGGACATGCAGGCAGTGGGTTGAGGCCCTGGTCTGGGTAGCTGAAGGTCTGGGTTTGGGGGCAGTGCTGACCTGAGGGCCTTAGGCTGGCCTCCCCAGGGAGCCTGGTACTGGCGCACAATGTTCTTGATCTGCTGTGTGGGCTGGGTGAAGTGCTCTGAGTTTAGCGTTGAATGCCGGACCAGCTCTGGGGAGGCTGTAAGAGCATTGTGGGGAGTAGAGGGAGGTCACCGGGGCATGGTGACATGCATAGTCCTATTTTGGGAAGCTTCTCCTCTCCCCAGGCACTCACTGGTTTCTGGAAAAGCCTGGTCCTGAGCTAGAATGGGGACAGCTATGGGCTTGGTTGGTGGCCTTGGGTCCTTGGTTGGGAGGCCTGGGGCCACAGGCCTTGGAGCAGAGCGCAGGAGCACAGGCTTGGCTGGGGGCCCAGTACCCACAGACTTTGGCCTCACCTCTGGTGCTACAGATTTCTGCAGAGAACAGGGCATGAGATGGGCTGCTGGAGACACTCCAGCTCCTTACCTGCTGTCAGAGACTCCAGCTCTGTCCAAGGTAGGCTGTTGGGCTGCTGGGCTCAGAGAAGGACAACAATGCCCTGGAATAGCACAGCACTCCTCCCTAGAGATAGCTTACCTTGAGGGGAAGGGGTTTCAAGGTGGGGCCCAAGGGCTGCTGCTGGAGTGCCATGGCCTGCAGAGTCATCTCCCGGGCCTGGGAAGAGGCGGTGGTTGGGACCAGGAGGTCCACTTGGACCCTCAGCATCCCTTTCCTTACTCACCAGCAGCATGGCTTGTTTGTGAATGTAGGCTTGCTGCAGGGCCAGCGTAGAGGCATCCAGGCCTGGGACTGCTGGGCCAGGTCAGAGTCAGGCAGGGGGCAGGCAGAGGGAGATAGGGGTTCCCGACCAAGACCAAACTCAGCTTCTCACCCCTGCCCACCTGGGCCTATCTCCTCCCAGCAGGAACCAGTAAGCAGCTCCAGCCCCGCCCCACCCTGGATTCACCCTGGGTAGGCACTGACTTGGCTTTGGCTCTGGTGGTCTCCTAGGGGTGTCTTCGGTGTTGCTGCTGCCACCTCCACCAGGCCGGCCTCCCCCCTTCATGAGGCAGGCAATGGCTGTTGGTTTCTCCAACTCCTGGGAGCAGTAAGTAGCTAGGCTGAGTGCCTTAGTCCTGTACTCTCAAGTTCCATGGCAACGGGCACCCGATACTGCCACCTCCTCCACCCTGTCCACTGGCCAGGTGTCTTCTGTACACTCAGCCTTTGCCCATATGGCCTCTAATTAGTCTTCCCCACAACCCTGCCAGCTCCCAACCCACCTACTCTCTTTCATAGAGGTGTAAACTGAGGCTCAAAGATGGGTTGTGCCCTGATCAGAGTGGCACATCATGTCCAGGACCCAAGGAGGGGTTCCTGGGAGCTCCCAGAATAAGCAAGGGTACCTAAGGGGCTTTTGTAGAATCTGGGGCTAGAGGACCCAGGGTACTAGGGATACCAGATAGAAAGTTCTCAGTGGCCACACAGGGATGGCTCCCCTAAAGGCAGGGTGGGGAATCTGGGACTTCTAGCTCTGGGGTTAGCCAGGAGCACCTCTAACTTTGAGGACACTCTATCATTTGGTTGGCTCTCAGCAGAGACCAGCAAGGACATGCCACCCTGTGGCCCTGGCCTGCCTATTCCTGGTGTGGGCAGACACCTCCATACCACATCACCGTAGGATAGCACAGGGTCAAAGAGGCTGTCCAGGTAGCAGTCCAGCACCCTGTGGGGCCCAGCAGGCTCATCAAGCCTATTCCAGACTGCTGAGGAGTAGACACAACACAAGAAAGTCAAGCTCTTTTTTCCTGCTGATTCTCATCTCCAAGATCCCCAGGCTCCCTCCCCAACAGAGATAGCAGCTGCTGCTGGCTGACCTGAGCGGGTAACTGTCCCTCCATGGGCCTCAGTCTTCCCATTTGTACTATCCTCATTGTTGCTGCAGTACCCACAGGAGTCAGGCATTTGGGGGGTGTGCCCCTGAGGCTGGGGCCTTGTGGCTGCATCCTCATCTGAGTCCCAGCTGCTCCCAAACACACTGTGGGGAAGGGAGGCATGGAGCAGCTGAGCCCCAGAAAGATCCACAGCCCACAGATAACCCATCCCAAAATTCTCTCCTGTGCCCTGAAAGTGGGTAACTTTCTTTCTTTAAAAGACAGGACTCTTAGGTAAGCTCCACCTCCTTCAGAAGCCTCAATTAGCAGCTGGCAGGGGTGGAGCCTTCTGCCTTGAGGAGACCATCTGTGTGAGGGGTTGCCCAGGTAGCTACCTACACTCTGGGGCCACCCCTGCCAGCCAAAGGTCCTTCTGTGCCCACAATGAAGTAGGACTTCTGTCGTGGGAAGTCCCTGAGTAGCTCTAGGTCTGACACCAGGTCCAGCACATAGTCATGGCCAGCCAGCTCTGTCCACTGGACCCCGTTCTTCATGGCGACTGTCCAGCCCCGCCAGCCATCTGCCAGTCCCCTGGAAACATCATGCAGGAGAGATGGGAATGATGGAAATCACCATTAGGCACTCCCTAGGGAGCCCCGGGACAGAAGCCAGACCCCAAGCGTGACCCAAGAAGATCCAATGGGACCCTAGAGGACTTGGCCTCCTGTGCCTCCCTCAATCTTTCCAAGGGTACTGGGTAGGGTGCTCCAGGAACCAACCTGTGTTTTAGGATGTCTCCAGCCACCTCTTCCCCTGTACTCCAGGAATGTACTAGGCAGGAAAACTGGTCCCCTGGGGAGGTAGCAGGTGCTGGGCTCAGTCTGGGGACGTCTGTAGTACAGGCTTCTGCTTTTCTCCTGGATCCCAGACCTACAGCCTCCCTGACTCTGCCTTGCCTCCCTCCCCCACCTCCTAGGTCTAAAGCCACATCTGGATGGTCCATTCCTAGCTCAAGAGCTTTCTGCAATTCGTCCTGATCCCAGGGAGGGCAGCATCAGGGTGGGGAAAGCAACTCACCATTGAAGCAGCCTATGTCCAACACCATACCCGCCTTCTCCTGGGTGGCTCTCCACTCAAGCTGGGTTGGGGGGAAGGCGCGGGCAACCCCAGAGCCCTGCTGCTGGGCCTGGCTCATGGCCTGCATGAGGCGCTGCTGACATACAGCCTGGAAGCCATTCTGCCCATAATCAGACACAAACCTGGTAGGAGGGTTTAGAGCTAGAATCAAGAGGGATCTGAGGCTAGCTCAGGGGTGGGAGGTGTCTAAGGCTAGTCTGCAGGAGACTCAAGCTAGCCCAGAGCTCTAAGATAAAGTGGAAAAGGCTCCAGACTAACTCAGAAGGATCCCAGGCTAAGTCAGAGTTCTGAGACTAGGCTGAAATGGTTTCAGGATAGCCCAGAGCTTTAGGGGTAGGCTGAAAGCACCCCAGCCTAGCCCAGAATATCACATGCAAACACAGAGATCCAAGGACAGGTCACAGAGGTTTGCAGGTTGGCCTACCTAAGCTTGTTGGAGCTGAATGTCATTGATAGGGTGGGGTCTACAGCTGGGGGTGGGTAGGAACCTAGATTTTGGAGCCACCTGGGCTGATATCTCTGCCCTCCATTCTTCCACCAGGTACCTATGGCTGGGTTACCTGCCCTCCTTGAGCCTCAAAGTTCTCATCTCACAAAACCTGGTTGTGAGGGTTTAACTCTGGACTCAGGGCAAACGAGCTAGATCTCTGACTGGGCCAGGTCCTCCTCATGCCTGGGCCAGGCATCCCTCATGCCTAGTCCCCAGCTTCCTTCTCATTTGCTCCTGGGCCTGCCAGGGAGCAGCACTGGAGCAGTGCCTGGGGTCCTGCAAGAGAGAGCCAACGGCCACACCCAAAGAAAGGAAGGCCAGGAACCGACAGGCAGGTGGTCCTACTTTGCCAGCCACAACTGCCACCAGAATCACAAGACTGGCTAAGTAAGCTACCCACCTACTGTGCACTGACTCAGTGAGACTCTGGATACACCATACCTCACATCCCCAATTTATAGGTGATAAAATATGCTCAGAGAGGGGCAGGGACTTGTCTCAGGTCACACAGAAAATAAATGTCAGAGCTAGGATTTGCACCCAGGGCCTGCGAGAGTTCTTTTCCCTGTAAATCATCCTTCTCAGACAAAAAGGTGACATAATAATAATGATAGTGAAAGTGGTGGTGGTGGTGGTAGCTATACTCACATAGATTGGTGTCTATTCTAAGCACTTCATGTTTTACACATTTAATCCTCAGAAGCCTAAACAAAAAACCGAACTCACTGCCGTGGAGTTGGATCCGACTAACAGTGACCCCTTCCTTGGGTTTCTGAGGTGGTATCACTATGGAAATAGATTGCCTAACCTTCCTTCCGAGGAGTGGCTGGTGCATTTGAACTGCTAGCCTTCTGGTTAGCAGTCAAATGCCTTAGGCATTACGCCACCAGAGCTCCCAAGGTAAACAAACAAACAAAAAATCCAGACCGACTGCCATAGAGTCAATTCCAACTCATAGCCACCTCCATTGGGTTCCCAAGGCTGTAAATCTTTACAAAAATAGATTGCCTCATCTTCCTTCTGCAGAACAGCTGGTGGGTTCAAACTGCTGACCTTCTGATTAGCAGCCAAATGTCTTTCCCACTATGCCACCAGAAATCCTTAAGCCTATGAGGTAGGTACTGTCATTATCATTATTATATAGACACTATCGTTATCATTATTACATAATCATGATTGTATAGGTGAGGAAATTGAGGCCCAAAGAGGTTAAGTAACCTGCCCAAGGTCACACAGCTCATATATGGCTGAGCTGGGATTTGAACCTAGACTTTCTGAGTCCAGAGCCCATGCTCATAACCACTCTGCTATACTCCTCTGACATGAGGTGTCAATATCCTTTCCCAAGTCCTCTACAACCTACATTTGACATCCTTTGAGTTCTGGAAGTCCTATGTCCAGTCTGACCTGAATCCCATCCTATGTAGCTAACACTTGCCTTTCTCTCTTGCTTGGAGCCCAGCAGAAGTGGACAGCAGCCCTAGGCCAATCTCCACATCTGAATTTCCAAGCATGGACACCTCACTCCTGGCCTGACCTTTAAGATCCTGCCTTAGGTCTCACTGTCAGTGTCACTATCCCTCAAACCCCTGGCCACTCACTTGAGGAGGTACTTGTTCAGGCGTGAGGAGGGTGCAAAGCCACTGAGGCAGATGGCCAGCAATAGCCAGCCCCTCTCGGCATTGTAGGCATTGACGTTGTGCCACACCTGGTTGGCCAGCTGTGCCAAGATCTCATCACGCAGTTCAGGCACTGCCAGCCCCTTCTGCACAATGTAGTTCCCAAAGACCTGCTCCTGGGCACTGTGCAGGTAGGGGTCACCCATGAAACGCAGGACCTGGGATAAAACAAGACTCTTTTGGGCCTCTCAGAAAGGTGTTCCTGCCAGGTTCCCCCAATTAACACGAGTTTCCTCTCATATCTCTCACGTGAGTCCTTCACATGTGTCCCCATATTAAAATATAATTGCCATATTCTATATCAAGTGATCAGCAGTTCACCCCAACCAAGTCAAGATCTGAAGTTAAATTTCTCTCTTGCTTATGAACTTTCTATAGATCCCCTGAAGCCCGAGCCCCCTCCTTGTACCTCCAGGTTCCAACCAGCCATTTACTTCCTGCTCCCTCCAGGCCCGAGAGGACTTTTTCTAACATTCAGACCTGACCACATCCCTTCCATGCTAAGTACCTTCCATGGCTACCTAGTGACCTTGGGATGAAATCCAAGGTCTGTGGCTGTCAATCAAGGCCATGCTGACTACTCTTACCCTTGCCCACCTGATTCTCTGTTTTGCTCACATCAATTTCCTGTTCTCTCTGTGCCTTCTCTACTCTCCCTACCTGACTCTTCCTTCCATTTAAACTCAAACGTCTTCTCCTCCAGGAAGCCCTTCTGATCCTGCTCAGGGCCAGTTAGGGACCTTGCCTGGACTCCCCAGCCTCTGTACTTAACCTCAGTCTATAGGAGTCTACTCTGCTTTCCTCATCAGACTGGGAAGCACTTGAGAGGACCTGGGTCCTATTTTCAGTGTTCCTAGGAAGCTCCAGAGAGGCTCAAAGGCAGCCTTTTTTTTTTTTTTTTTTCCTAGGAAAATGGCTGCGAGAAGAAAGGCTACCAACCCACAGACCTTAGCCCAGAAAGGAAGCCAGACCCCCCAATGACATAATAGTCTTTCCTCCAAAAAGAGCCTGGTCTCAGGGGTTGGGGTAATGGAAGGCCCAGGAAAGCAGGCCTGGGTGCCTCATGGCATGGCCTCAAGGGGTAGGGGCTATAAATCTGAAGGTGGCCTGAGGTGGGCACCATACCAGCTTGAAGATGCTCACAGCTTCACTGTGGTACTCTGCCGGCAGCCATGTGAGCGGGGTCCTCAGAGGCACTGTTAGCATCCCAAAGGCAGGTTCCTGGGGGTACAGGGCAGGCATATCTGGATCCATGGCACTGTGCCAGGTAGGTACACAAGAGCCTGTGGGGCAGAGGCTCTTGTCCCCAGTGTATGGATGGTGAAACTGAGGCTCAGGGAGGGGCAGACACTGGCCTCAGCGAGTTGGTGATAGAGATGGGATAAGCCCCATTTGGGCTCTTCCTGGAAGGCAGGTGGTTAGACAGGGCAAGGCTGATGTGCTATGGCTCTACCAGCTCCCCAAGCCCCCTGAGGGTCCTCCACTGCAATATATGGCCCCCAGGAACCTCCCAGGTTCCCCATGATCTAGCAAATGAAGGGATCACACATGGTGCCACAGGGCACAGCCAGGACCCTGCCCCAAGGTGAGGATTATGTCAGCTCAGATTGGTTAGTGCCTACTGGTCAGGCTTCTTGTACCAGCTCTTACCTTGAAGTGACACCGAACAAACTTGGCCATGGGGTAGTTGTTGATATCCAGGGGCAATGTGACACGAGGCTCAGCCTGGAGCCGTGGAGTTCGCACGGGGGCTACCTTGGGCACCTGGGCCAGCCTGAGGCCTGGGGAGGGCACGAATGCCTGGCAGCTGTGCCTGCCCATACCCACCATGTCCATGCCCTCCCCATACTACCCAGTGCAGACATACTTGCTGCCACTTGCAGGAGCCCAGCCAGCTCAGCAGGTACCTCCAGGTGTCCTACAGCTACCACCTCTCGTTTGTTCAGCTTCTGGAGGGATAACACAGGTGAGGGGACCAGACCGCTACCTGCCTGCCTCCCCTGTCCCTTGCTACTATGCAGACCCTGCACCCACCTCCTGCTCCTGTAGCTGTGCCTCTTCTACCCGATGCTTCTGCTCTGCCCTCAGCTGCAGAAGAACGGATGGTCAAGGCAGGCATGGCAGAAGGGGCAATTGCAGCCCCTAGGCTGGGGCAGGCCCATGCCAGGTGGCCCATGTGAAAATGAAGAGGTGAGTATGCCTGCTGGCTGGAGGCCTACCCATAAGGCTGTGACCACTGCACCCACTTCACAGATTGGCAGGGGGAGGCAGAGGTGTGGCCACAGAGTTGGGAGAAAGACAAAGCAAGAGAGCAACAAGGCAAAGGAAGGAGGGAAGGAAATTTTGGGGAAAAGAGACACACACAAGGAGAATTTCAAGAGGTGACTGAATGATGGGAGTAGAACCTTCAGTGAAAACTATGTAGTTCCTCAGTGCTTTGGAGATGAAATGTGTCTTCCCTTGTGGCTGGCTTATATGACAATGGACCGAGACTGACCTCAAGGCAGGAGCAGACCACAACCCATATGGTTCAGTCCAACCTTTTCTGTTGTGTTGTTGTTAAGTGCCGTCGAGTCGTTTCCAACTCATAGCAACCCCATGCACAGCAGAACGAAACACTGCCCTATCCCGCGCCAGCCCCACAATCCCTGCTATACTTGAGCTCATCATTGCAGCCATCGTATCAATCCATCTCGTTGAAGGCCTCCCCCTCTTTTGTCGACCCTCCACCCTAACAAGCATGACATCCTT